ATATATATATATATATAGAGAGAGAGAGAGAGAGAGAGAGAGAGAGAGAGAGAGAGAGAGAGAGAGAGAGGACGAGGACCCACCCTAATGTAATAGGGGCATCGACGGGGTCTTGTGGATCGGTATCTGTACCCAAATGCAAAACATCGTCAACTAATATTCCTGTACTGGAAGTGTTGCTTGAGAGGTACTCTTCTTGGTAAGCACAAGCATTTAGCCGAACAGAGCATCCTCTTTGTGGTTGGACACAAATAGTACTATTGCATGAAACTGGCGCTCCAGATGTCGATGTACTAGGACTGTATATGTTTAGCTTCAGTGCCTGTTGCGGTTTGAAATTTTTAAATAAAAACAAATTGAAGATTTAAAATAAAAAACGGGCTTATAAACTCTTGTTACTAGTTAAAGTACCTTTCCAGAAGTGGTGTTCAAGCTACGCACGCATGAAGTGCAGTCGCATGGTAACCAGAATAAGTCACTACCCGTGTCGAGCGCCACAAGATACTCCAACGGAGGGGTGCCCACAGTAACCAATGCATAGTGCAAGCTGCAAAATATAGTATATCCATAACTATTTTCCGGAGATATCACGAAAACACGAATTGGTTTTCCGAATCAAGATAGTTAATCAGCATAATTAACGACTAGTCAGAACGACTAAAGGTTTCTAAATTAATTGCGCATAAAGGATTCCCGAGAACAAAGAGTAAACACTTTTCGAGTTTAATATAATATGAACACACAACCTTAAATTTTTGCATCTAGAGATAGATTAATGTAATTATAAAAAAAAAAATACAACTTACAATCCAAGAGAGCTGATCTGGTACGTCTCGTTCCCGGCGTCGCCGAAGAAAGTGACGAGCGGGTTGGCGGCGGCGGTGGCGAGGCGGCGGCCATTCAAGAGATGATCGCGGTGGGCCATGGCGGTGTAGTAGTCAACGGTACCCTTCTCCGGCAACCCATCCAGATTCAAGAATTCCTTAACGGTGTCGGAATATCTGTGATGGATATCGAATCCGAACGTACCAAATGCTTCGCCGCGCTTCGCATTAAACCAACACGCAAACGCTATTAGAATCAAACAACTCACAAACACTGAATCCTTAAAACCCATCTTAATTAATTAATTGATTAATTAATTTAAACAAACCAATTAAAAGAATTCAAACAAAAAAAATTAAAATAAAGCCCTGTTTTCTATTTCCAAATCCCCCCTCTTCCCTCCTTGACCCAATCAGTAAACAGAGAGATAAAATATATATATGAAGAAAGAAGGAGAGAAAATAGGAGTTATATATACCTGTCGACTTGGTCAGGTCAACTACAGGAGGGTAGATAGAGAGAGTGTAGAGAGAGAGAGAGAGAGAAGAAGAAGAAGAAGAAGACGCAATCCTCGTCATCGCCATAGTCAACATCAAGAAGGTAAAATTGGTAATAAGAAAATGGGGGAGGGAAAACAAAGTCGTTGTTTGAAGCACCATTTTCATTTGTTTTAATTAAATTAAATTAAATTAAAACTGTATGTATCTACAAGTCGTGTCCAATTTGCAAGAGCGTGTTGAAATCTGGGGGGTTTGTTTTGTGGGGTCTTCTTTCCATTTTTTCTGTATTATAAAATCCGAGTCAACTCGGACCGTGTTACTCTCTGTTCAGACTGCTGCAGCAAGCACATGATACAAAATTAGTGTACAAGTTTTCATGTGATTTCCGAGAAATTTCACCAATGTGATATACAATGTATTTTTCACTAGTTTTACACTTTAATTCTTACTTGTTATTTGAATATGGGCAAATTGCACTTCACCCATTAAAGAATGCCTTTATTTGCATTCCCCCTCTAAAAAAATACAACTTGTTGCATTTTGGTCCAAATGTATATTTTCGGTGTAATTGTCGCTGGACTAAGGGTGTATATGTCATGTTACATTTTTCTACTTAAACCCCAACCCCCCTTTCACGACGGACTTACTTAGGGCTCCGAAATTGACAAAATTATGTTCCCACATTGACGAAACTTGTTCTATGTTCTTCATAATTAATATTTTGAAAGGCAAATTAAGATGATGAGTTGAGAATTACCGCAAGGAACACATAGACGTGACAATGGTTAGTGATATACCTATTGGGCCAGCCCAATGGACCTACGATTTATTTATTTACTTGGCCACAAGCCCATTTCAGAAATTATTACTATACGTGATCAGTAACCTGATTCATCTCTTCAACTATATTATTATTGGTGATTACTACATATCATCCGTTGGTACCCAACTTTGACTTTGTTATTTGATTGTGAAATGTTGGTTTGTATTTGAATGAGCTTGGTATAAATTTGAGTTTTCTTTATACATTATTACGAAATTTGCGAAATTCTTTTTTTTCTTTTATTTCAGGAATTAACTCGACCGATTTTATTATTCAAATGCACCATGGGGGTATTTTGTAAATCTTGGTTTACGGTGTTATAATATTGAAGGTAAAACGACCGGTTTCACCTTTGTAATGTGTATATGATGTCGGTGAGAGAGATAAATTCCATATTTGTCGTCGAATCTGCAGGTCATGTCCATTGTCAAATGGATTAGTTTGCTTCTGAACAAGAACGTGGTCTTATATCTTCTGAGTTAATTCGAGATGAATTTCTTGTTTAAATTGTTATGATATTTTTTTATCTTATTTGGCGTAATAAGAATGCCTTGTCCCATGGTTCTATTTCTTTATCTCTACATGACTTGTCAAAGTGTTGATTTATTGATGATTACCAGCTGCTAAGGGAATTGGAAGATGCTGACTTGAATCAACTGAGTGTGGAGCTGTCATGTGGAGAATAAGCATATACTCTACATTTTATTTAAGATCTTAAAAATAGATTATAAGTTTTATTATCCAAATATTTCAAAAATTCCTTTTAAAAAGAGGACAAAATGCACTTCACCCCTTATAAATTTCTCTTTTTGGCACTTGCTCCCTAAAAATTCAAAACATGGATAATCCCCATTTGAAATATTATTTTGGTTGCACTTTGCCCCGAAAACCAATTTTTGGAGGGTGCGTGCAAAAAGCAACATTTTTAAGGGGCAACTTGTGCAACAAAAATACTCAATTCGAATGAATAATTCATCGAAATTTCGCGATCGGAGCAATGTTTAACAAGAATAACATTTTGAAGGGGGGCATTCACTTTTTAAATTTTGAGAAAGTAAAGTGCAAAAATTAGAAATTTATGAGAGAGAGATGTGCAATTTGCCCTAAAAAATAAGACGTAGTAGCTTAAAATAACTTATCAAATATAAAAGCTTCTAAGTTTCTTGAAATGAGTTTAACCAAAAAGGTGTGGGGACAAATTTTTTTCTACAATATATGTGGGCCAATTTTTTTGAAAACTAGAACACATTTTCATCTAATTTCACTTCTACAATAATGCGTCATTTTAAACCACGTTTTTTAAGAAGCTGCTATGCGTCAAGTTGATATATGGGGGCTATTTTGCATTTTTCAGTTAAAATATTTGATGGGAAGATTGAAAGTGTGTGGGGTCTGCATGGTAAAAGAGGTGGGTGAGTTTTTTTTTTGGGGGAGGGTTTTGGTGGGTTTATGGAAATATTATTTAATAATTTAGAAAATATTTGATTCATATCTTATATTATTAAATTACTCCTCATAAACTCTT